TTGGATTGGATTGGATTGGATTGGATTGAAAACAGGGAACAAAAACCAAATACAAAAGGTATGAAAACAACTGACCCATGTAAAATGAACCAATGAGTTACAGAAACGTATAACAGAAGTAGAGCATTTCTATTAACATGAAAATATTGGAAATTTTAGATGCCGGCCGATAAGGTTGAATATTAGTTTTCTTGCTAACATTGAACCGATATCTGATATTAACATTGCATTGTAACAGCTTTTACATTATTTAATATGCATTATTAGAAATTCTTTTTCATTTCAAAATCAAAGCTGCATTTTTTTTATTTTTTTGACAGCACTAGTGGTCGTTTATTCAACAGTAGACTGACAGGAAAGAGGGTTGTGACATACAGCAAAGGACCACGGGTGGGATTTGCACCTGGGTCAAGAAGGCCTTCATACATGGGTCATGTGCGCTAACCACCTCACCACCGAAAGGTGTCATTTTTTGGCTAATACAAACTTTTAGCAACAGACAATCCAGACATTTGATTTTCTTATCTAGAGCTTTTCATTTTGTTAACCAAATAAATGATAATGTTTACAAGTGCTGTTCAAAAGATAGTCAAAAAAAAGTGACCAAAATGTATTTTAAAATGTAAAACTCAAAAATATAACTATACTGACAAAATAACTTTTTTCATTTCAGTCAGAGCAGTTTATCATAAATAAAACTGCTTATAAGTCATTCAAACTGTTTTCATCCTCTGCTTATTGTCTGACAAACCTAAAGAGAAAACTAAGAGGAAATGACTTTTTTGTTTTCATGCCTGACCCTGCAAAAAGTGTTGCTTATATCAATTTGATTCACGATTTCGAGTGGCAAAGGAGAAGAACGTCAATAGCAGCCCAGGCTTCATTTTACAAAGCAAGTCAGTTATGCTCTTTCACCCCACAGCTTTTTTAGATCTTCTAGTGTTCATGACGCTGTGTCACTTTTTTCTGCTAAATCTTTTGAACATAAAATAAAAAACTTTTTTTATTCATCATTTAAATGAAATAACACAATAACCATCCTTGGAAGAGGAAATTAAAATGCAGTTCTAATTATATGTTATTCATTTTATGAATGAGTCAAATGCAAAAGCCTTTCTGTCAATACATTTTATTTTTCAAATTTGACATTTTGAGAATAATTTTGGTCACTTTTTGCTGGGAAATCTTGTATTGATTAAATGTAAAGTTTTGTGTTATTTATCATTTAATTTATGATAAGTCCAACCTTGGAGAAGAAAATAAAACCAAAAGAAAAAAAATGTTTGGATGATTTCTTTTTTATATATAAATGAAAAAAAAGCAGCCATACTATATAATGAAAAAGCCATTATTTTAATCAATTTTAATATACTCCTATATACTGTCAAATAACCACATTAAAGTATAACGCTTTGAATACTGTTGCAATGCCTTTGAAAACTGAATTAAAGAAAAAAAAAAAAAAGAAGCAACGAGCACATAGTCCTTTTACTTTGAAGAAATGTATGCAGATTTCTTGATTGAAAAGCAACTGAAAGTGAAACTGAAACAGGTAAAATATCTTTGGTCGCTTAATCAATTTGTGTAGCTGACAAGAAAGATAGTGGAAGGTTGATGAACTGAAAGCTGACAGGAAAAGCACGGCCAGGCGAGACGACCTCATACCAAATCAACACAGTAACTAGAGGCAACATAGAAGCAGTAATTCTACTTATTAAAAGACACCTATTACTGACAGCAAAGGATACAACTGAAGTGAGAGCATCATTTGAGCTTTTAATATTAAACTATAAGGGTGTGAATCAGGTTTTAGTGATAAGGTATAATTTGTGTGACTAGTTCCACTTTAATCCATAGGTTCTTCAGAGCAGGTTTGGAGAGATGCCTAAAGGGAGAACTGGAGTTTTACACAGCAGCGGACCACAGTTGCAGTCAGGGTTCTATATCCTATGCTCAAGATGTTTACCCTGTTTTACATTAATGTGTTTCTTAACAAGGAGACAGAATCCTGAAAAGATAAAGATGATCATTTGATTAATTTGGACATTTTCAGAAAGTTTAGGACAGAGGTTCCTGAAGAACACGATTAGGGAGGGTTTTTGTAGTGAAATTAGGAGCTGCTAGTAGCTCAGTTGTAGTAGATGACCCTCCAAAGTACCTGACATATCTAAGTTAATGGCCAGTCACAGAGGAGCCTAGACCAAAGCAGGATATGGCCATCTTACAGCAGATATCCTCTGATTAATTACCCATGTGAAACATATGCTGTAGTGCTGCTGTGTAAGTGTAGCGATTATTACTTTTATATCAGGAAGGTTTCTATGGTTAATGGCTGTGATTCTAAAGCAATCATGTTCTGCATAAGGCTTTAAATAGAACATTACTAAAAATGTTGGTGTGCCATCAAAATTTGGGATATATTGTGCCGCCTGCACCAACCTATTGTTTCTTTATTGATCAGTTGCAGCTTTATTAGTTTTTACATTCTAGTTGTAGGACTTGCACCACAATTTTGGAACCATAGATGTATAATGTAATGGTTACAGTATGAGGGCTTAAAAAAGCAGTGCCAAAAAGCATCTGTCCCCTAACAGATGGCCTGTGTTTTTGCTTTTTTGTTAACAAGATATAAAGCAGATAATCAAACAGATTTCAAAATTAGAGAAAGATAATATAAGTATAAACACAACAGGCAAATTGTAAGGATGATCTTTTAAATCAAGAGAAAAAAAAAGCTATCTAAACCAAGCTGCCTCTTTCTGAAAAAGGTTATTGCTAGCTGTGCCATTCTTGGTAGCAACAATTACTGTTAAGTGTTTGCGACAACTGACAGTGAGTCTTTGAAGCTCAACTGGTTAATCCTAATGAATTGGTTTAGAGTAGTAGCAGATTAAAAGTTTCAGTTTCCATAAAGGGTCCTTGACTGGTCCATGGCAGGTCCTTCTCTAGTAACTGACAGGTCCATGGAGGTTATGTTATGGCTGGAAACCGGAGGCCTTTCAGCTGGCTTTTGGCTTGAAGAGGAATGCTTAAACCACTACAACTGTATTTAGAGTGCCACAACATCCAAGTCCAAACTTTGATTAGTGCACTGTAGATTCATTGCTTTTTTTTGTTATTTTCAGAAATCCAAAGGTGCACATGCCAATGTCCTTCATTGACCTACTGTATAACCCATATATATATATAAGTTTAGGTCAGATAAGCAGACATTTTTCTTATTGATTTCCTGTCAGAGAGCAGAATTTATAGCTGTCCATAATGACATGTTGTCCACTTCGTAAAGCATCAAAGCAGTCCCAGACCAACACACTATCAGCCCCATGTTGACTAATAACATGATTGCCAAGTCTATTTATTTTTTATTTCTTGTTTATGGCACCCTGGGAAGATTCAGTACCATGTACATTTTTCCATTTTTGTAAATGGTTCTTTCTTGAGTCAGTAGAATCCCAAAGGGATTACAGTTCACCAGATCATACAGTCAAATTGATTTAAAGTTTTCTATCTAAGAAAAACCAGTTGATTGTATCGACTCATTGACTCAAATGCAATCCCTCACACTAAGCATGCTTGTAGCGACAGTGGAGAGGAAAAACTCCCTTTTACCAGGAAGAAACCTCCAGCAGAACCAGGCACAGTGTGAGCGGCCATCTGCCGAGGCTGACTGTACTGCTCTCTTTAAACTGAACTACTATCTGAAAAGTAGTTCCTGTGAAGAATATGAATTAGTGAAGCTGCCTAGGGCACAGATGAAGCTAAGGACATCCAGTCAATGCCCTCCTTGACATCAGTTAGGTTGTCTGTGAAGAAGCCCTAAAGGCCCAGTAATTCTCTCATTTTCTGCCTTCTAATAGCGCTAAGTGAACATTTCCATATTTGCAATTACCTGGACCTATTTGATATCATCCAAATTCCTCCTTTCGTAGATTAAAATGTGCACTAATTTCCTTCACACAGAGATTGAAGTGGAAGTAGAGTGATAGCGCCTGGAGCGTCCCTCCGTCGGCTTCCACCACACGGTGGCCCCCTGTCTCTCCTTCTCCACGCTCCTCCTCGCCTCCCCCGCTACCATAAAGCTCAGCCTCCCTCCACTAACACCGCCACCTCCTCCTCCTCCTCTCCTGCCTGCCTCTGTACTTCCACTCTTCTGATCTCGTCTCCCCATTCGCTCAGAGCCGCAGACGCTCCTCCAGCTCCGCGCAGCGCGCCGTGCGAACATGGTCGGCGGCTCCTGTGCTCGCAGGCTGGCCCGCCGCTCCCGGTCCGCCCTGATCGCAGCCCTCACGGTCCTGCTGGTGCAGACCCTCATTGTGTGGAACTTCAGCACCCTCGACTCCGGCGAAGAGGGAGAAAACACAGGCTCCAGCGTGCGGGAGAAGAGGGAGCGGGTCGCTGGCAGACGAGCCGCCGGCAGCGACTATTTCCAGCGCGGAGTCCAGCAGCGGCAGCAGCATCTTCCTCCAGCTGGGAGGGGGGCGGCTCGCCTCATACAGCAGCCGGTAAGACAGCTGCTCTCTGGCCGTGTGGCCGCATCGCAATTTCGGTGTGAAGCACCTCATTGGGGGGGATGGAGCAGCCGGCAGGCTGGGTTAAACGCCCTGTGTTTGGGTCCATGTTTTCTGGAGACAAACGGGCCTCTGCATGGATTCATAATCATTGCATGGCTCTCTTTAAACAGAAATGATGAGCAAAAGCAAAGCATGCCCCCGTTTAGGCATCCAGTGCATCTGGAATGAAAGGAGAGCCAAAGCAGAGTGAAATCAGCTAAGGGTATGTTCGGATCAAAAGGGTAAAAAGGAGAGAAAAATAAATAAATCCTTTTCTAAGACAGCAGCTGTGAAGATGCAGGCATTAGAGCTCCTGTCTGGGGTGGTAGTCATACCTGTCAGGGTCTATTTGGTGTTTCAGCTCTACAGTTTACGCACCGCTCAGCAGCACTGTCTCTGCAAAGCCAAACGGAAACGTAACCTAATTTGCAGGGTTGGTTTTGATGAGCGCACAGGGATTAGAGTCTCCAAATTGAATATAAGAGACAGAACAAATCAGCTGGAGCTGTTTTATTTATATATTTTTTAGGATCCCATTCAGTCCTTTTAGATGTCATTGGTCCTTACTTTTTAATAACTTTGGCTGTGCTGCTTAGTATAAACCTGAAACCTTTTGGGTATTTTGATAGGACGTTTTCTTTGGTTTTATCTTGAAGTCTTTTATATATTCTGAATCAAATGGGGCAATCCATTCTAATTGCTATATTTTTGAAGGCTTTACATTTATTAATTTGCTTTGATTTTATTTGCCAGAGTTTAAATCCATGCAGTATGTCAAGTTTTAACTGTTTTCCTTTTACTAAAATATTTATTTTTATTTTTGGGGGGATGCTCTGTAAATTTCTCAATTTGCATATATGGAATATATCAATTTAATCAAATACACAATGAAAACTAACTCTATCTAGAATATATTTTATAAAAATTGAGCTCTTGAGTTGTTGTTAAGCTGTTTTAAAGGATTAAGGAGCTGTGAGTTATATTGCATTTCCCTTCACATGACAGCTATAAAATGATAACCTCTGATGGGTAAAGAAAACACCACAGTGATTATTTCCTCATCGGTCATGAAGTGATCACATGCTGCTAGGAGGTGGGATGTTTTAGGCTGCAGGTAAACATGAGGTCTTCAGATTTTATGTGTTAAAAGGAAAATTGTCAAGGATAAGGATTTGAAAAAGTCTGACATAACCTGAGCAGTAATGGCTGTGTCAGAGCATCTCCAAAACCACCAGCTCTTTTCGGTTGCTCTCGGTCTGCAGTGGTATCTAACTAATGTGGTCCAATGAAGGAACAGTGGAGAACCGGCGACAGAGAGATGGCTAATGTTAATGCACTTAGGAAAACGAAGGCTTGCCCATGTTTTCTGAGCTGAGCCACTGCAGTAAATATTGCAGTCGTTCTGATTAAAAGCAGTCAGATTACAGAGTGCATCACATTTTTTTTTTTTTTTTTTGGTGTATGAGAGTAAATAACTGGAAATCAGACATGTTTTGCCTGCCTGCCGGCACCGGTCATTTAAGTGCAGGTAGGAAGAGCTCTAGCTTAAACGTGGATATTATGCGTGTAATACAACCACCTGGAGCTCCTGCAGATGTACAGACCTGGAAAAAAAGAAACAGTTTGGGATCAAAGTCAAGGCGAGGAGGCTTTTTTTTGAGTCACTTAGACTTCAATATTTTTGTTAGACTCCTACATGGTTATGCTTCTCAGCGTGCTTTTATCTGGTACAACAGCCTATTCTTTATTCAAATCTTGAGGGAAATTAGGAGAAATTACAGCACATTAGGGAGTTGTTATGATGCGCTGCATTGAATTACTGTGCTGCACATGAATTACATAACTGCTACTCCAGATTAGTTATGTCAGAACCTTTTCATGCTGCATTGATGCTGATTTCTTCAGTTGTGTTTCATTGTTAAAACAACCCCCTAAGAGGGGCTTTTTTATCTGTGGGACTGGGGCACTTTCTTCTGTTTGTGGAACGTTAAATCACCTTGTGAAAGAAATGCACCGATCAAGCATTTCCAGGCCAATCATAATTTCTGGTTAACTGTCTGGTCTCATCCACCAATTCCAGTTATTGATTTTAATGATTATATAAAAAAACAGGGCTTTCCTGGTCCATGATGATTCATCCAATATTGAGAGAGTATTGATATAGAAAAGGATGGAAATGTACTGCAAGTCTTTCAATGGAAGCTGCATTTTAAAGTCAGATATAAAAACAAATATTTGAGATTATCTGCACTTATGAACCAAAGTATCCATTACTTTTTTATTAAACTAAATAAAAAATGTATTAAAATACACAGTGTAGTTAATTTGTTTGTAGATGAAAACCTGCAGGAATGTTTGTTAATTTAATTATTTTTAAATTTTTTTTAGGATTTACTTGGTCAATTAAGAGAAAGTTGTCAGTTCCAAGCACTGCGATTAATCAGTTAATCTTTTATATTATGTAGATTTTTCACCATTTGTTTATCATTGCTCAAAAACGGAAAATTAACTACTATCCAGCTGATCGATTAGGATATGATGATGATTTTTAAAAATCTCCACTCTGTGATTATCTGATTTGAGTGGATGGGGGGAAATCATACAACTCCAGTCTCTGACCCACACTGTTTACTTATGCCCCCAGGTTCAACATACACATCCTCTCCCCTACCAAATCACTCCTTTTTCATTCCTTTTTAATTCTAAGCCCGTGTGTCTGAGAGTGTTTGCTAGCTGGCAAGCCTGCCTTGCCTTGTGTAAGACTGACGCACAAGTACCAACTGATGCTATATGAGGCAATGCATCTGAGGGAAGGATGAGCAGAATTTGATCTGGAACAGAATGAGCCAGGAGCCAGACTTTGACAATAGGGAGCGTTTCTACACGATAACTTGTGTTACAGGGGAAAATTATGCATATATTTAGATGCATCATCCCAGCAGGCAGAAACCACAGCTGTCATTAGAGTCTGTTTCTGTTGCTTTTGAGAGAAATGCTCTTTGAAGATTGCAGACAATTGTTTTTATTCTCAGAGCTGTCTGTTTGCAGCTTCACTACTTTAAAACTGAGCTGGTGACTTTGACTACCTGTTGAACATCTATCATCTCCCAAAAGTTCCATATCTATTAATTAGGCTTTTGTCTCTTGTCTCTCACCTCAAATCATTTATTACAAGTCTTAATGTCACAATTATCATTAAGAGGCTTCTAAGGGTGGGGCTGAAGAAACTTGCCCACAGCAGCAGATTGGAGAAAAGCTTTGAAAAGCTTCACATCTGGCCATCAGCTTTTTCTTTCCCTCTGCCCCAGCCCTCATATTCTATCATGACACCCCCACCCCCCTGCCCAGCAGGAGTTTAAAGCTAACATCCGTTGTAAAGACTTTCCCCTTAGTCATGGTAAAAATGGAAAAGTTACCTCTGATGTACATGTTTTCCATTGCATCAGGTTTTCCAAATGGTTTTCTATGGCAATGAATGCATCACAAACCATCTGGTCCAGTGTGGATTTGACTCTTCTCCCTAAACTTTTCCACAGGAACTTAATAACACATGTCCTACCTCACCACAAGTAATTATTAGTTATCATATAAGGATGCTAGTTATTTTTCCAGAGCACACTAAGCCAGATACTTGTAAGGTGCAGGGTTGGTCTCTAAAGGATTGGCTTTATTCCTTTACTAAACCTAGTGAAGCACAAAACTGTACTTAAATATGTGTAGATGTTTTTCTTCTCTGTACTTTTAATATATTTTTTTTTTATCTCTGTGAAAATATACCTGATAGAAACAACAATTCTGTGTTGTGAAAATGTGTATCTTGATTTCTTGCCAGCGATAACTACAGTTACAACCCTTGTAATGGGACTTTAGCTTCACCGTGGAGGAGTTTAGACAGGGTCCACTTTGGAGAATTGCTGTGGATAGACTTTAACTAGAACAATTCAAAATATGATCATCGCTCTGCTGCAAACTCTAAGTGTTTTTGAGTTTAAGAAAGCTCAAAAATGATGGCGATATGACAGCTTATGGTTCTTAAATGAGTAGAGTGAGGTCTGCAGTGCTTTAGATGTTCTTCTAGGTTATTATTTAATCTCATGGATGATTTGTTGCTTAATTTTTGTCAGCCAGGTGCTACAAAAGCATTCAACTTTGTTCCGTTTTTTTGTCATTTGTGAATAAAGACACCCACCACACTTAGCTGGAGATCTAAGCTACTAGAGATCAGTGATTTTGCTTCTCATCTGTTCTGAAATCTGTTTAGACTTTGAAATATTTTGTTTCCTTGGAATAAAGTTGTTTCTTGATTCTATCAGTCTGGCTGTAATCAGGCCACGACATGACCAACGTGGTTATTTTAACTGTATTGACCTGATCTTATATCAGATTTTTAGGTCTGTCCTTTTAACCCCTCTGTACCTTTTTCCACGTGTCGCTAAACTTCCCAAAACAAAGCACAGGAGATCACTACCACTGTCCTAAAAGTTTGTTTAACCTCAAGGGTGGACAGAAGCAATGTTGTCCTTTATGTTCAGATGTGTTTTTAGGCCAACGAAATGGAACTGAGGGAAGTGGATAACTGTGGGGATACCCTCTAGACCGCAAGCAATGAAATGACAGCATTTGTTAAGATCCAGACAAACTTTTACCCAATGTCCGTATTCAATGTAAATTTGATTCTTGGTTCTTGGTACTGCAGTTGATTTGTTTGATTGTTTTTTTTTCCCTTAAACAGATATTTAATCAGTGCAAATATAAAAGTCTCCTTTTATATATCAGATGAAAAGAATGTTGTTGACATTTTTTTTTCTATGTCAAATATGACTTCACAATATCATAAAATCATACCCTGTTATTTTTATGGGTAAAAATTTGTGTTGCACAGATACCCATACCAGCATCGGGCACGGCCCTAATGCAGCACTAAAATGTTGGTATCAGTACCGACGAGTAGC